CATTTGATTACTTTTCTAAATTTCCAGTGTTTTCAAATGTTAATAATTTTCAAACATGTAAACCAGGCAGGGTTAACATTACAGTACTTTACATTACAACACCGATTACTGTCAGACTTTCGAAATCCTTCATCACTTGAATTAAGATTCTAATATTTTTATTTAAAAGGGGACATTGGATACAACTTTTACATGGTGTTCACATATAAACGTGTCTTAGCAGTGTGTGGACACAATGACACTACAATGACAAAAATTCATTCACTTCTTTTTTTTTTATCCCCAAAAACCTATACATTCTCAACAATGTATATAATAAAATCAATCAATAATGTATTGAATAACATTCAAGCTGTATTGATTTTATGAACAGTATGACGTCATATTGTTCAGGCTCCGCCCACAACCGCTGACAGACTGTCCTGTATTAGCATATTTCTGCTAAAAATTATTTTATTGCCCTCAATGTGAACAGAGCTGTTTTTTTACAAGGTAAAATGGGTGCTGTTTTGCATGACCAACGTTTTAACGTTTAAGTATGTTGCAGTTATTTAAAGTAAATTAAGTATGTTGCAGACATTTCTTGAAGACTGTGAAGAATCATACCAACTTGTGGAAAATGGGCATCTGATTTCCCCATTAAAGCACAGCTACCACAGAATCAGACTTACTTTGAGATCATTCTGAGGTTAAATAGAGATTTAAAATCATAACAATAAATAGTTTAATAGCTATTATACTGTTTTTTAAATCAAATCTTTGCATAGCAATCACAGGAAACAATGGAATTTAACTGTAATGTGGAAGGCGTGACAATGGAGTTGTGGATCCAAGTGCAAGGCTTTATTAAAAGCATGGTCAGACAGGCAGGGTTAAACAGTTGCAAACAGGTATAATCCAGGGCAGAAAAACGAGAGTAATCCAATACACAAGCAAAAGGGCGGGGCAGGCAGCAAACGATCAGAAAACAAGGAACAGTCCAGGGTCAAAAACAAGGCAAGGCAAGAAGGAAAACGGAAACTAAGAAAAACACAGGAACTAGGGCTAGACACAGGTTAACATGGGCTAAACATTCAATATTCAGCCATGTGAAAGAGAGAAACCAGGCTTTAAATAGGATGAGACAGATGAGGTAACAAGACACAGGTGAATGTAATCAGTAATGATGAGTCCAGGCAAAGGAGTAGGGGGAATGAAGTCCGGGGTAAAGTGGCAAGAGTCTGTAATGAAGTGCCCTCTAGCGAAGCTCACAGGAACTTCAGATAGAGATCGTGACATTAAGAATGCCTTGGGAAAAAAAAGATAATCTTAAAAAAGAAAGCATATACATAAACGAGTTGTGTTCAACTAAGTCTCTGCCTTTCTCACATAGAACAACCTCCTGGACAGCAACCAGTCTGGTTTCAGAAGAGGACATTCAACCGAGATGGGCTTGCTCTCATTTGTTGAAGCCCTAAAACTGGCAAGAGCGGATTTCAAATCTTAAATACTTATCTTGCTGGATCTGTCCACTGTTTTTGACACAGTAAACCACCAGATTCTCCTGTCAACCCTATTAGCAAAGGGCATCTCAGGAACCACACTCCAGTGGTTTGAGTCTTGCCTCTCAGATAGGTCCTTCAAGGTATCTTGGAGAGGTGAGGTGTCCAAGTCGCAACATCTAACTACTGGGGTGCCTCAGGGCTCAGTTCTTGGACCACTTCTCTTCTCTGTCTACATGGCATCACTAGGTTCTATCATTCAGAAACATGGCTTTTCATATCACTGCTATGCTGATGACACTCAACTCTACCTCTCATTCCATCCTGATGATGCGACGACAGCTGCTCGCATCTCAGCTTGTCTAACAAACATTTCTTGTTGGATGACGGACCATCACCTTCAACTCAACCTTGCCAAGACAGAACTGCTTGTGGTTCCAGCAAACCCATTGTTTCATCACAATTTCACCATCCAGTTAGGCACATCAACCATAACTCCTTCAAAAACAGCCAGAAACCTTGGAGTTATGATTGATGATCAGCTGACTTTCTCAGACCACATTGCTAAAACTGTCCGGTCCTGCAGATTTGCTTTATTCAACATCAAGAAGATCAGGTGCTTTCTTTCAGAACATGCAACACAACTTCTTGTTCAAGCTCTTGTTCTGTCCAGGCTGGACTAGTGCAATGCTCTCTTGGCAGGTCTTCCAGCCAGTTCTATCAAACCTTTACAATTAATCCAGAACGCAGCAGCAAAATCAATTTTTAATGAGCCAAAAAGAATGCACGTCACACCTCGGTTTATCAGTTTGCACTGGCTACCAGTAGCTGCTCGCATTAAATTCAAGGCACTGATGTTTGCCTACAAAACCACCACTGGCTCTGCACCCCTTTACCTAAATTCATTACTTCAGTCTTATGTGCCCTCTAGAATCTGGCGTTCTGCAAGTGAACGTCGTTTTATTGTGCCATCGCAAAGAGGAACAAGACTTTTAAATGAACTGTTCCCTCCTGGTGGAATGACCTGACCAACTCAGTCCGAGCAGCTGAGTCCTTAACCATCTTCAAGAATTGGCTAAAAACACATCTCTTCCATCTTTATTCTTTATTTGACCCTCTAACTCTAGCACTCTCTATTATAATTCTATTCTTAAGAAAAAAAACTTGTCTCTTTTAGACTTGCACTCTATTCATTTGCTGCTTGTTTTCTTTAAAAAAAAAACTAACACTTGCTTTGTGATCTTTTTGTATTCTATCTGTTTTCTTTTCATTTATTATACAATTTAAAAAAGCAAAAAAAGACCTCTAACACTAGCTTGCTCTATTCTTTTTCTATTCTATTTGTTTTCTTTTTATTTATTATATTATTTAAAAAACCCTTGCTATGTGTACTGCATTAAGCTAACTGAGACTTGTTATAGCACATGCATATCATTGCTCTTTTGTTGATTTTGATTGCTTCTATTGTCCTCATTTGTAAGTCGCTTTGAATAAAAGCATCTGCTAAATTACCAAATGTAAATGTAAACAATGTGCAGTGACAACAATCTCTTTCTAAATGTGGAGAAGACGAAGGAGATGTTGTATTGTTGTTGACTTCAGGAGAGTGCACACTCAGCATGCTCCTCTGTCCGTCAATGGTGTGACTGTGGAGAGGGTGAGCAGCACCAAGTTCATGGGTGTGCACATCACAGAGGACCTCTCCTGGACTGACAACACCACAGCACTGGCCAAGAAAGCACAGCAGCGTCTCTACTTCCTCTGCAAACTGAGAAGAGCCAGAGCCCCGGCCCCCATCATGTGCACCTTCTACAGAGGCACCATCGAGAGCATTCTGACCAGCTGCATCACTGTGTGGTATGGCGCCTGCAACGCGTCCTGCCGCAAGTCACTTCAACGCATAGTGAGAGCAGCTGAGAAGATCGTTGGTGCCTCTCTCCCCTCTCTTCAGGACATCTACAACACCCGTCTCACCCGCAAAGCCCTCTGCATTGCAGGTGATCCCACCCACCCGACACACAGCTTCTTCAGTCTGCTGCCATCAGGGAGGAGACTGCGGAGGCTTCAGGCCAGGACCAGCAGACTGAAGGACAGCTTCATCCATCAGGCTGTCAGGAAGCTGAACTCCCTCCCGACCTTGCCCCTCCTCCCCTCTTTTGCCCCACGCACCACTGAACTCTGACCCTCTGACGGACTCTCCCACTCCCCCCTCCCAAATACACACACACACTGTCACTTTAATCAGTCTGAATAAGCTCTTTTGCACTACAAATCATTATATCTGCTCTGATGTCTACTTCACTGTTTGCACTCTATCTGCCATGTGCCTTGTGCTGCTTTATATATATATATATATTTACATTTTTACCTTATTTGTATATTTGTTTAGTTGTATTTTATATTTAATCTGTATATCTGTATTTATGTTCTACTGTTAGTGTTATCTGTATGCACCAAGGGTCTGAGAGTAACGCAATTTCAATTCTCTGTGTGTATGTGCTGTACATGTGGAAGAATTGACAATAAAGCAGACTTGACCTTGACTTGAACTTGAACTTGAAATGTAATAAACCCAAATAGGAAACAAAACAGTTATTGAATAAGCATGTGTCCTATTCTCTGAACTAAACTGAGACATTGATGTCTCATATTTAAGAGCAGTCACTGCAATTTATGAAATAAATCAAATAAATCTGTATGTGGGTGTGTGTGTGAAAATAATTCAGATGAAACCCCCTTTGTAATCGTTAACATTTTCATAAGTAACTGTAATTTAACTACACATTTTTTCTCAGTAATTGTAACTGATTGCGGTTACATTTATTCTGTAATTAAATTACGTAATTTCGTTACATGTAACTAGTTTTCCCAACACTGTTCATTACCAACATGCTGCAATGAATCCTTCATGCACAATTTCTTTTCCATGCCCTTTCGGTCTGATCTAGGTGCCACCGGACCACGATTTCACCCACCAACCAACCAACCACCTCCACCACCCCCAGACTGCGATTATACCATCGTAGCCTACTGCCATTTCTCCCCTGCCCCTCCGGAGGTCTGTGTACGCCACTGATTACAGAAGTGAAAGTAAAAAGAAAGTTGAAGCGCCCGAGGGCTTGAATTGTTTTAACAACAGTTTTTCTACTGTACACACTCTTTTATATGGAAAAAAAATATTTTCAGATTATTTTATTTTGTCACAGAACAATATGCACTTATATCAGAGACAAGGTGACTGATTATTTTTAAAAGAGTAAAACAATAATTTAGATTTGTATTTTTGAAACATTTTAAAATTGTATTATAAAATAATATTTTTATTTCACACATCTGACAAAAAATTGCGTCTGAGTACAAATAAATAATCTATTATTTAAACATATTGTTTTAAACTCAGATAAACTGCTGTGAGTGACACCATGTTAACCCGTCCAACCACAAACCTTCTTCAGTCAGCTGACAGCTGGATCGAGGCAGTGCAAAACCTGAAGATAGTTTCACTTTGCTTCATTAGCACCGTTCTCTGCTGTATTGCTTTAGTTAAATTCTTTCCAATACATTGGAGGAATATACAAGGTAATCAAAAATAATTACATATTATTAAGGACACTTAATTTTGACTATTTAATTGCCAAGCATTTGTTGTTAAATTAGAATTGGAAACTACATAAACTCAATCAGAACTTCCAGAAACAGTTCATTGATGTATTTTGCAGGTGGAGACTCAAACAACAGACACATCGAGACATGGCAGGAAAACATCCAGGTGAGCAAAAACCTTCCTGCATAACATTTATTATAATACTGTGCTTCTGTATCTGTAGAGAAAACAAAGTAAACAACAGGAAGTGTGAATGATATAATTTTAAAGAGTACAAAGTGTGCTTGAGGCGACTGATTTTGTGTCCAGACTGTTCAGACGTGTGTAGGAAATGCCAGCAGTATCTCAAATGATTCAGTGCCCTGTCTTAAAAACATAACTTTAATGAACCTAACTTAAAAAAAGTTTATACATTTATACTTACAATTTAAAAAACAATATTTTTCTAAAACGTGTGCCACAATTATTCTTTTGAATATTCTGTTATTACACAGACAATGAACATACAATATTTAATATTTGTTGTGATTTACACAATATATTTATTTCATGTTTGCCAAATATTTAAAAGGATAGTTCACCCCAAAATGAGAATTTGCTGTTCATTTACTCACCCTCAAGCCAGACCGATTTGGTGAATTGGTTCATCTAGTTCACTTTATTCTCAAAAGCGGGCTTCTTTACTGTTGTACTCAAGAAAAACCTACACCTTGGATGGCCTGAGGGTGAGTAAATGAACAGGTGTGAACTATCCCTTTAAAGACATGAATACATGTAAAAGTATATGTTGTGTGTCTAAATAATTTGGGGCATGTAAGTCAACTAGTTACACATGCAAAATAAACTTTACTGAATATAACTATATTCCTTTACTGTAACAGATCTGAAGATCATTCTTCTGGGAACAACTGGATCAGGAAAGAGCGCATCAGGAAACACCATCCTGAACAGAGACGCGTTTACAGTGGGAAACTCTCTGGTGTCAGAAACAACAAGATGTGAGAAACAAGAAGCAATTGTTGATGGACGAAGTATATCAGTTACTGACTGCCCCGGCCTGTTCGACTCTTCAGCCAGTCACAGAAACCTACAGACTTTAATAAATAAGTGTATGGGTGTTTCTGCTCCTGGTCCTCGTGTGTTCCTGCTGGTTCTGAGACTGGGTGTGAAATTCACAGAGGAGGAGAAAAATGCAGTGAAATGGATTCAGGAGAACTTTGGAGAAGATGCTGTGAAGTACACTATTGTTCTGTTCACTCACGCTGATACACTGAAGGGGAAACCTGTAGAGCTCTACATCAGCAAAAGCAAAGATCTACAGCAGCTAATTCAGACATGCTATGGGAGATATCACTCATTCAACAATGAACACAGAAATAATCGAGATCAGGTCACAGAACTGCTGCAGATGATAGAAAAAATGGTCAATTTCAATGGATGGAATCACTACACTAGGAAGTTTTTTTAAAGGAGCATTTTAAGGTTAGTGTGATGTTCCTGAAACAATCTTTCAACTCAGTGTGTTTCTGCTCCTGGTCCTCGTGTGTTCCTGCTGGTTCTGAGACTGGGTGTGAAATTCACAGAGGAGGAGAAAAATGCAGTGAAATGGATTCAGGAGAACTTTGGAGAAGATGCTGTGAAGTACACTATTGTTCTGTTCACTCACGCTGATACACTGAAGGGGAAACCTGTAGAGCTCTACATCAGCAAAAGCAAAGATCTACAGCAGCTAATTCAGACATGCTATGGGAGATATCACTCATTCAACAATGAACACAGAAATAATCGAGATCAGGTCACAGAACTGCTGCAGATGATAGAAAAAATGGTCAATTTCAATGGATGGAATCTCTACACTAGGAAGTTTTTTTAAAGGAGCATTTTAAGGTTAGTGTGATGTTCCTGAAACAATCTTTCAACTCAGTTTTTTTATTAACAGCTCATTCTTCACAGCAAAATCCTCAGTGTTAAATGAACACTACTCAATGTGTATATGGGTCCAGTCTACAGAGTGTAAAAAATAACACTGAAACAACTGCAGTTAATAAGATAATTAAGTGTTTATTTAAGTGATTCAACTGAGCATCAGCGATGAACAGCTGCTGTTAACAAGCAGCATCACTGAAGAAAAGACAAACACAAGAACTACAACTGATTTCAGCCACAGCCTTAGATGAAATCAACTGAAATATGAAGACATTGAATCTCTCAAGATCTCAGAGGAGGACTAAACAACTCCACGAACAGCAGCAGCAGTTTCACTCATTATTAACCAGACTGACTTTATTTCTCTTAGACGTCTAGAGAAGCTCTCATTGAGAATTAGAGGTTTATTTTAATGTTTCATTGAATGTTTCAGTTGAAGTCATGATTGTGTTGATTAGTGTTTCCTTTACTTGGCCCTTGACATGTGTTAATTTGCTTCTCAACTGCAATAGTGAGAGTGTGCATTGTTAAAGAAAGAGATTGATGTAACAACAGACCTGTCTGCTTTAATAACAGTCAAATGACTGCATTAAACATGTTTAAACAATTGCTTTTTCTGCAGTTTCTTCCCAGATTTAGATAATTCTGAAGTTGAAACATTAATGAATACAAAATGTAATTACTACAGCCCTTGTGATAGAAATATCACTGTAATGCATAAACACTGAGAAGATAAAGAGCTCTGTCACAATTACGTGTCTTGTCTTTGTTTTCTCCTGAATCCATTTCCCATGATCCCTCACCTAGGAACCAATTCCACACTCACACCTGTTTCCCATCATTCACACTATATAACACACGCTATCCTGTGTGTTTGGGCTACTTACTGCTCAGTTACTCCTCCTGAGGTTGTCCCAGTCCACGAGTCTGTTCCAGAGATTCCTCCTGTCCATTAGTCTGCCTCAGAGGCTTCCGCTGCAGATCCTCCAGAGGTGGCAGTACCTATTGATGAACCCTCTACCTGTCCAGCCACGGCCAAGGAGGCCGTTTGTGAACTCTCTGTCTGTCCTGTCATGGCCAAGGAGACAGTCTCAAACTCTCTGCCTGCTCTGCTTCAGTTAAGAAGCCCGGTTATGAACCTGTTGTCCCACCCACCCAACCTCCCTCTCCTTCCTCCTCTGCCTGTTATGTTCTTGGTTCTGTCTCCGCTGTTTTCTGTCTGTCCCTCAGGCCATCCTTTGAGGGTGGTTAGCGGTCAGGATTCGCCTCAGGACAGCCAGCCTCCAGCTGCACCAGAGTTGGAGGATCCCAGATCTCTGTCTCTGGCCTTGAAGACCTGGACTCCACTTCGGTCCGTCAACCCTTTTGCATCGCCTTGGCTCAAAGCTCCCTCAACTCCACTGTGGTCTGTCAGTCCACCAGCTCCACCAGGCTTCCTCGTCCCTCTGGCTCCGCCTTGGTCATTTGTCAACCTGCCCTCACCTCAAGACAACACTCCTCCAGCTTAGCCTCATCCCTCCGTCCCTCCGGCTTCATTGGGCTCCTTTCTACCTCCGGCTCTGCCTTGGTCCTTGGTTGCTCCGGCTTTACCATGGCCTTCCGGATCCCCACCTGCGCCTCGGTCGCCAGAGCTGTGGGCTCCACCATGGCCCTCCGATCCCTCAGTGTCACCCCGGCTCTTCGGCTCTCCATCTCCACCTTAGGCTCCTCTTCCACCGGCTCTGTCTCCTTCAGTCGGACCCCTGATGCCTCCAGTGTCACCCCCTTCATGGTTCCTCCCTCCGTCAACTCCACCATGGACTTATAGTTAGATACTTAATTCTGTTTGGAGCGTCTGGAAGCCACTCATGGGGGGGAGGGGGGTGCTCTGTCATGATTATGTGTCTTGTCTTTGTTTTCTCCGGACTCCATTTCCCATGATCCCTCACCTAGGAACCAATCACACACTCACACCTGTTTCCCATCAGTCACACTATAAAGGTTGCACTCATCCACACACACACACACACACACACACACACACACACACACACACATTGCTAATTATTGCTTAGCCTTCTACAACTCTGTGTCTTTGCATTTTTGGCCTTGCCTTGCCTTGCCTTACCTAGTGTTTTTGACCTTGGACTGTTTATCTGTTTTTGACTGTTTGCTGCCTTCCCTGACCTTTGCAGTTTCTTTAGATCATTCTGAAGTTGAAACATTAATGAATACAAAATGTAATTACTTCAGCCCGTATGATAGAAATATCACTGTAATGCATAAACACTGAGAAGATAAAGAGCTCTGTCACAATTTCTCCTGAATCCATTTCCCATGATCCCTCACCTAGGAACCAATTACACACTCACACCTGTTTCCCATCATTCACACTATATAACACTGTGTGTTTGGGCTACTTACTGCTCAGTTACTCCTCCTGAGGTTGTCCCAGTCCACGAGTCTGTTCCAGAGACCTTTGCCTGTTTTTGGATTTCCCTTTTGTATTACCTTGTGTGCTAGTGTTTGCTGGTATTTTGACCCTGCCTGTTCTGACCACTCTTTGGATTAAAGCTTGCATTTGGACCCTCAACTCTGTTGTCACGCTCCCCATGTTACAAGATCTGTCTGAGATCTTACAAAAACACTGCATATTTTTGTGTTGATTGAGACACACTTAGACATCAACACTTATACAAACTTCAACAGTAGTGACAATAAAAAACATTTGATTATAAATAGTAAAATAATTCAGCTGCATAACTTATTGGGCTGCAATGCATGCTGGCAGCCACAAATGAGTTGTGCATGCTGACATCCATCATGCACTGCAGCATGACTAAAGATGTGATCAGTGAATCAGGCCACAGACAGAAACAAGTTAATTATGTTTTACATTTGAATGAGTGTCATAAAACAATTTAGTCACTGATGTTTCATAGTTCAAGGGCAGGGGTGTCCAAACCTGTTTCTGGAGGGCCACTGTGCTCCAGAGTTCAGCTCCAACCCTAATTAAACACACCTGAACAAGCCAATCAAGGACTTTAGACTCAATAGAAACTTCCAGGCAGGTGTGTTGTAACTAAACCCTGGAGGACACCGGCCCTCCAGGAACAGGTTTGGAAGGAGTTACTGAAGTATAAAAGCTGTTGTTGTGGTTGGAAGATCACTGTACTGCATCAATGGTGTAAAAGTAAACAGAAACAGTCTTTAAAAAAATACACCATCTCTTGTGCAAGAAATTTAAATTGGCCATTGATACACATTTAGACAGCAACACTCAAAGCTAAGTGATCAGGTGATTTTTTTAAACTATTGATGGTGACAATTATTTGATTCACTGATCTTGTTCAACATCTAATCTTTGATTATATGAGTGATGTGGTATTAATTTTAGGCCTGTGACTCTGCACTGAGATTCAGCAGTGTTGTGACAATTATGAAGTTATTAGCTATTATGAACGATTTTAACGTGTGCATAAAACATTCTGCGCTACTGCATCATTTACTGCATCATTTAGACTGACACAGACATCAACAATCAGCATGAATTTCAAAATGGTGCTAATCAACAAAAAGTTTCATGCTGCAATGCATGCTGGGTTTTTAATAGCATGTTTTGTGATGTTCAGAGTTGAGCTGTTCTTTTTTTGTTGGTTGTCACCATTATTGAGATTCATATGCCGATTGTTCATGCTTGTGCGTGTCTGAATTGTGTAGTTGCAGTGCAGAAGTAGATGGATTTTTCAAAATTATTTCCAAAATTGTAGATGTTTTTGATGAAGCTTGTGTAGATGTATCTCACTAATTTTATTGATTATTTGGTGTTTCCAATTACTCCCTTGAACCATGTATACATGCATTTGATTTGTATTGAAAATATTTAAGCACTAATTATTTAATTGATTGATTATTTATTTATTGTGCACAGACACTTTTTGTTATGGTACTTTTGCACTATGTTGTCACTTTATATGAAAATTATTGTTATTAAATTATATATTTTCTCACTGGATATTGGATTTTGAACTTGCTTGGTGTGCAGATTGTTCTTCTGTTTTCTATTATTTAAACTGAACCAAAGTACTCTTTTGTACAAAGTACAAAATTGTGCAGGACGTATAAAGCCCATGCCCCACCCATTTGGATCAAATCATTTGAAGTATGACTCATCTTCATCCTTTCTACACTACAACGTGCAAAGGTTCATGTTCTTCATAATATGAACAGACCAAAGGACAAACAAAGCTCTGCTTATCTTGACAAGCAACCGAGACATGAGATAAAAACAAACCAATATACCGATAAGGAAATAAAGACCTATTGTGAGCTTCTCTGGGGATTTTACAGAACTCAGTTTATGTGACATAACCAGATTAGTTGACAGATAAGCTGAACTTTCGGTTTTGTGGAGTAAAGAAAGTAGCCATGCTGTAGCAAGCAGCTCCAGTTTGATTTCTTCAGAGGTATTCAGTGCATACATGC